GACGTGGCCGCCTGGATATTGGACCGCCTCCGCCCCCCGCCCCCCGCGCCGCGCCGCTCACCTCACGAAGTTCCAACGAGTTCCGCGATGCAAGTAGGCCTCTCGAGAAACGCAATTGGACCGCGAACCTTAAGAGGCCACTGAATGTCGAAATACCATCTTCCCGGACAAATCCAGTTGGGAATGGGCGGAGTACAAAGCGAGGGGTTTGGAAGCACAATTTGAATGAAGGAAAACCTGCTGTTTACGTTTTTGCATACGCACGTATATATACGTAGTAATATACGTAATATAGAGAAAGATATGCAATGTTGAGGCAAAAAATGGCGAGAGAAAAAACAAAGATTTCAAAAGAAAAAACTCGCATTATGGGGCCCTGATATGAAAAATTTGGATAAATCCTGTTCTAATACGTACTGCAACACTCCCTCTAAATCGGTATGTAGTCAAATTTCACAAATAGTGAGACCCTGATTACCGAAGAAGTGTTTTTTAAACGTCCGTCTGATTGTCCGTCCGTCCTTCCGTCCGCCCACTGGTCTGTGTCTGTCTGACTGCCTCTCTGTCTGATCAAAGCAGCCGACCGTTAGAATTCTCCTCAGTCAACGCTCCACCACTGCCTGGACTCCAAACCTACAATAGCACATGCTGATCAGAGACACAGCAATGAGCTACCTCGGGCGGCGTTTCCGTGGAGCCCTCGCTGCAACGCACAGGGCGGAGACACAGGAACGCGCTTCTACTCGGAGGGGGCGCGCACTCGCCGGCCTTGACCCTCATCCGCGCGGCGCGAAAGGCGAGCGGCCAAGCACGTGTCGCCCGCCCCGCCCCGCGGCTGCTACCACGCCCCACCCTATTCCTGCCCCGCACCGGACCTCACGCCTCTCTCCGCCCACACAAAACACCGCGCCGCCCCACACCGCCCCACCCGCCCCCGCCCCGCTCCACCCCGACACCCCAGTCCTACCCCGCTCGCACGCCCCAGCCCACTCGCCCACCACGCTCCGCGCCGCCCTCCTCCCACTCTACCCGTCTTCCCCGCTCCCGCTGCCGCCCTGCCCCCACCCCGCCCGCCCCCTCCCGCCGCCCCGCCCCGCGCCGGCCCACGCCCCCCCGCCCACCCCACCCCTCTCTACCCGCGCCGCGCCCGCCCCGCCCCACTCCGCGCGCTGCCGTCGTCTGCTCTGCGCAGTCGCTGCAATTCCACTCCGCCGCCCCGCGCCGCCCTGCGCGCCAACCCGCCCGCGCCCCGCTCCGCGGCCGCCTCCAGCTCCGCGCGCCCCCTCCGCGCCGCCCCGCGTCCGCGCCGCCCGCCCCCGCGATCAGCCCATCGCCGGCCCGACGCCCCACTCAACCCTCCCCGCCCGCGCCGCCTTTAGCCCCACCCCGCACCCACCCCCGTACTGCCCCGTGCCGCCCCTATTATGGTCGCTGCACCCTTATGGCACATGCACGTCACCGGAGCTAACTCCCGGACGATAACGAGCCAAGGTCAAAAATAGGTCCTAAAAACATTGTCATAAAATACATTGATATTGATGGGCATTTAAAAAAGTACGGCTTCAATAATGTTGTTCAAATTCGCGTGTGGTGCATAAAACGGAGCTCGCTAATTTTTAACTTTCATAATCAAAATGAATGTGGAAATAAAATTATACCTTTGCCATTTCAATATGTCCAATACAAATGTCATTACATAAATTTTGGTTTATATAACTATTGGGAACTCCAATTAGCGACGCATATTATATTAGCGAGCATATTACTGATAAGTTGGAATACCAATGATCAATTTCAAATTACAATCAATCCTCAATAGAACATCACCATCTGATTCGAAACGGTGAGAATGCGTGAAAGGATTTCTAGAAGGCGAAATATTGTCATATGTTTATCTGTATAAATGCCTTTACGAAAAATGACATTAATAGTCAACTGCATCAGTGAGAAGATGCCAAAACCATTTACAACAGTAACATTAGAAGGTTCGCTATTCATTGGGATAATCATAAATCATATTACATCAGCAGAAGTGATATGGCAAGTCAATGCAGCCAACACATAAACCTCTTCCGTGCATGGGGAAGGTGTACATTTGTATCACAATATGCAGCATTGTGGAGTCAACTAACTACATCCTATTTCTGAACCAGGACAGTCCGAATTAATATTGAAGAAGAGGCTCCACGCCTCCGTCAGCACGTAAGTGGCTGTCAGCACACACAGCTGTTTTCATCAAATCATAATGCTTTATCTTCATTTCGACTCGACAACATATTAGGATTTGCCAATCTTTGCAGCATTTTGCTGTTTGCAGAATTGTGCATCTCCTTGTGGCACTAAGCAACACAGCATAAAAAATTAATATTCCTGAATTGTTTACATATTCCATCCCCTCTAGTGGCGAATAGTTTCTGTCAGGTTGTCCAGAGTTTCATTTCCGGCCGAGGCAAAAATAAAGCTGCTTTCTCATACAATTTGTCTCATTTTCCACTGTTGTAGGGGGAAAGAAAAAGTTTAGACAGGACAAATAAGCTAGGTATGGTGACGGGAATATATATGGGATGTCACCATACCTGTCGTCATGTAAGGGATGGCGTCAGGCATGGGCGCAGGTCTGGAAACGCTTGCCTGGCAAAAATTGGATTAATTCCGCCCCAAAAACCCAAATACACACCATTACCATTTCCAAACAAGGGTATTCAAAATATTTCTTGTCGCATTGCGAAGGTGATAAGGGAGGTTATTATATTACATTTCAAACCCATTTAGCAACCTTTACACGAGGGGGTGAGCAATTAGCTTAGTGCGGGCCGGAAACCTACTGAGGACATTAGTGCACCTTCCATCTCGAGAGGTGGCATGAGATACAGCGCCGTTCTACGTAGGTTTGCGGACGTCTACCCCAGCCGAGGCTCGTTCTAAGCTCTCGACAGGTCTCCCGACAGGTGCAGCTGGTCCATTTACGAGGCACATTGGCCTCAAATAGAGCAACAAACCCGACAAAGCAGTTCAAAACAAACTGCTCCAAATACACCTTGGCTTGCTCAATGCGAGGCAGGCACAGAAGCGCGCTAAATATTATTACGCTCACCTACCCAGAAAATGTTCCGAACGGTGACCTGTTACAAGCAGTACGACGGTTTGGGTACTTTCACTAACTACACCCTCCTCTCTTGCGTCAAGCCGCCCACACTGCTCGCAAGGAAGCGTCCTCACTAGGGCGAATTGAATCCGTGGCCCCCGCGTTCACGCAGTGTTTGCTCTGCCCCGCACAAATCGATCGCCCGCCACGCCGGGATCACAGGCGGTCCACGCACCCTGGCTAAGCCCAGCGTTGGGCACGAGGGGTGGGGGGGGCAGGACGGGGCGGGGCGGGGGGGCGGATTTTGCCTTCGTACAGGCGAGCGGACGAGTGCACATACGGACGAAAAGGTGATCGGGAGGCCGGGCGGGCGGACAGCCGAATGGACGGTAGGACGGCTGCTAGGACGGGCGATCATTTAAATATCACTATTTAAAATAACGTCAGTTCCAGCGAAGTATCACTCGCTATTCATTGATGGCCGACTGCGAACAGTAGTACAGCGAACATAGTTTGCGGCTTATTCAACATTATGGCAGGACCTCACTCAAACTTAAAAATATAGTCCACGATCATTGCTCGATCTCTACAAAATCGATTAAAATTAGCTAAGCACAGCGAATCGCTCACGTTTGTCCATGTTCTAACAGTCAACCCCTTCATGGCTGTGCCCAAAACCTGTAATGTCAATGCCATACCAAATTTGACAGGACTTAATAGCGAGTATTATTAATAAGTATAAGTTACGCATCAAACGTTAATCCCTCTGAATTCTCGAAATAGCAGGTTTGTGTTCGCATTATCCCAAATGTATAAAGACCACAATAGGAACAATTTCGAAGCATCCTTAGCTGGACACTAACCAATGGGTGGTGACTAGGGTAGGCGAAGAACGATTCGGTGACGAAGTTTAGTGAGAGAAACGGAGATCAGTTCCTAAGGGCTGCAAAGAGATACGGTGTGAAGTTCGGAATTCGATTGACTCGGTTTTCATTTTTTCTTTACACAATACCACAAAACTTCACCCCTCTGCACCTGAGCTGAATCTTCGCTGCGACGTAGCTCCTTCGGCAGTCTTCGAGATGTACAGAAAACAACGGCAACGCAACGCATACTCTCCTATGCACTTTCAGGCTAAAAAAAAGTCTTGCAAACTCCCAAGATCCTGACATTCGGACCTTATTTGGCCAGTGCACTGTGGCCGATAACATCAGCCGGATAAAGACCGAAATAATCCGTTCGTTCATTCAGCTTTATCCACACCGGCTGGCTAATGTGTGCTTTAAAAGAGGCACTCCTAACATTAGACAATGTGCAGAAATCCGCATTCAATAGGTCCGGGTACCTCAAAACACTTGTGGTCACGTTAACATTTTCATAAAAATGTTCGATTGGGAGCGGAAAATCATTTGTGGTAATGTACCTTGAAACGGAAAAGGGCATTCAGATTTACCTTTCTCTTGAACACTTTGTAAAAAACACTTTAAATTCTTCGTTTCATTTCTCTTGCTCGCTCTTTTAAAATAATGTATTGTAAGCGTTTTGTAACTATGTGAAACAATGTAAAAAAATAAAGGGGTTCTCGACTCCTACGTAACATAGAAGTTGCTGTTTTCTCCTCGGTTTAGGTATTGCTAGGACCCATTCAAAAGGTCATTACACTATTTTCGTCTCCGTCAACTAGTTTAACCAGAAAATTAGCAAATACATTTTGTGATTCTCCTGACGTGTGGACTTCTACAACAACAACTACAACAACAACAACAACAACAACAACAACAAAAATCCCATCAAAAAATTAAAATTATTTTATGCTAATTCACGCAAAAGGAGAATAATTTACACTTATTTTGTTAATAATTTCACTTTTTCTGGTATTAGGCTAAACACGACCTATTTTAAATTTCCCGGAAAAATGTGGCCAATGACAAGTTACCGCAATGCGAGGTAAGTTTCGGGCGGGGAAGATCTTTATCAAACTTAAGACGAATAGGCGAGAAAACGAGATTCTAACCATGCGAGGGAACAAATTGTTGATCAAAAAATCCACCCCGTGCCGATTGGAGAATTGTTTCCCAACACCATCACATGTCAGTTTCGCGCGACTCTAAAACAACTTTTTTGTGCCATTTTTTGTTTGTGCAGAAAAGATTCTCAACGCCAAGAAACACACGATGTACACTTAACTAGCAACGTTAAATTTGAGAAAGGAACAAAACATACGAAACATGGAAAAGACATGCTGTTTGGGTGCAGCGAGTGCGTAACCTGGCTGAACCAACAAATTTTTATGACTTACTTAAAAATTGGGAGAGCGTCAGGAAACCTCACGGTGCCAGTTCGTATCTTGAAGACATGCTCAACACATATCAATATTCCATCACTAACAAACAAGTTAGAAATTCACAATACCAATTAAATCACAACACGACAACCACTTGCTGCTTAGAGGTTTCCATCTTGGAAAGCACTATTCCGCCGACAGCCAGTTGAATCTCATGCCCAAGTCAATTCAGACACTGTAAAATATATTATGTTTCTCAGAAGGCTCTATTTCATCACTTCTATGTAACCTAACAAATAATATGACTGTAAATAATTATCACTGGTAAATTGTTTTAAATATTACATAATGGCAAAATTTCAACATTTCAAAGCAATCATCATATATACTTTTGTAATAACAAATAGAACACAATAAAAATTTAAAAAATAATTATTTGTACAATTTCCAGGCTTTTTTAAAGACTTTTGTTTGACCTATTTCTAGCATTTGGCATAATCCGCACTGATCATATGGAACACAATTCAATTATGCCAACATGGCCGTATGCCGATTGATGGTTGCTCCTGACATAACAAGTATGAGGACGTCAACAAACTGGAGTCACTAGTCGGTGACAATATAACTGTATAAATTAGTTAAATGTCTTATGTATTATATGTGGCATTGAGTGTTTGTGGTAAATTGTGTCAATGATATATATGAAAATTATACCTCACTCGTTGGAAGAAATCTAACCAGATTTTGTAGCAATGAATGCATAGTAAGTTCTTTCTTATATGTAATGAATTGAACTAGTACTTATGGGACGTGAGTTTAATGTAGAAAATAATGTGCATTGTGTCAAGTTGTGCTAAATGATCATTTTCGGAGATAGAAACGAATTGCGATTGTAAACAAAATGCATAGGTTAGTTGCTTATCTGTCAATATGTTTTTCTTGTAGCCGTGCCAATGGAGGTTGCAGTGGGACAGCTTATGATCGTTATGTTGAGCAACGAGGAAATGACAATAAATCAGCCATCACCAAAATGCAACACCAGTATTGGGTTACTAAACAAACTGTATTCCGAAAACTGGGAAAGAAAGAAGATGACTGCATCATAGCTTCTGATGCTGAGTTAGATGCAAAACTTGAGTTATTTCGTTCTATTCAGGAAAGTTGCACAGATCTCCAACGTATAATTGACAAGTATCAAGAGAGGCTATGCTGTAAGTTGCTTCCAGATTGAATATAAATGGCCAAGTCTAGTAATCTTTACTTGTAATCTTTACTTGTAATAAGGGTTTTATTACTTACTGCTGCTTTATTGTATTGAAGCATTGGCCCAGGAAGAAAATGCAATGGGTCGCTTTCTAAAGGAAGCTGGAAAAACTGACAAAACACGAGCTGGAAAGATGATGTCTGCAGTAGGAAAGTCATTATCATATTCAGGACAGCAACGTTTGACATTACGAATGCCATTATTAAGACTCTATCAGGTAAAAAAAAAAGTACTCATGTTTTAATTTTTATAGATTTTTAAATAACTTCCATTAACTACATTTGAATGAAAAACTTGAGCTTATGGGATACATACAACGTTTCAGGAAGTAGAAACATTTCGACATCGTGCAATAGAAGACACATTACATAATGTCAACAGTATGGAGAAAATTCGTACTGAGTATCGTGCCTCTCTGAATTGGATGAAAAATGTGTCCCAAGAATTAGATCCTGACACTTTCAAACAACTTGAGCGATTTCGTAAGGTATGTTCCTTTTTTATTAAGTGTTTAAGTATGTGTTCCTGTACAGTTCATAACGTCTCGTTATGTATTTTAAAGGTACAAGGCCAAGTGCGACGCAGTAAAGTTCGCTTCGACCAATTGAAATTAGACTGCCTGCAAAAAGTTGATCTTTTGGCTGCTGCTCGATGTAACATGTTTTCACATGCACTGATTTTGTACCAGAATTCACTTCTTCAATTTGCAGAGAAAACTGCAAAAACCTTTAAATCAATAGCAAACAGTTTCAAAGGTGGTACTCCTTATAAAATTGCAGTATTTTAAACTTTTTTTTTTTTTAATATAAATATCTCTTATCTTTTCTAAATTCTATTTATTTTGTTCTGAAAATATTAAATACTAATTATTTTCAAAATTCATTCTATGTTCAAAATTGCAGGTTACCAACATTATGAATTTTGTGTTGTGAAAGAATTAGCTGAACCATCTCTGAAATTGGCTGAATTGTCTTCTAAAGAGAATGATCCAAGTAAACAAGTTGAAGAAACAGATGAGGATAAGGATAAGTTAGTGATATCTCTTTTAGGAACTGTAATGATCATTTTTAGAAAATAGTATTTCAAAAACTTGAAAACCTGTTGTTCTAGGTTGTTGTTTTTTGAGTCTGAGTACCATGATGATGATGATAATAAAAAGGAACAAGAATCTGAATCACAAACCAAATCTCAAAGTTTAGAAAATTTGTTTCCATCAGAAACCCGACAAGATGTGTTACTAGATTTGAGCATTGGATCCAATGAACCTTCATCTCAGCCTAGTGGATCTAATGGTCCATCTTTGTTATCTAACGATACAAAAGGTTAGTAGTATTATGTTTCCATACTAATATTAACTATACACTGACTAAAACGTTTTTCAAATTATGGTCAAGAGGCGGAAATTTTGATGATATTAACTTCATGACACTCTGATTGAAATGTAATTTTATTTTCCCCTTGCTGCTCTATTTTGACATAAATTTTACTTTTAAAATTTAATTTTTTGTTTCATTAAATCAGTTTCAAAAGTAGAGAATGTTGAATTGAATTGAATATGCCTTATTTTACGTGGCGAGACTCGGGCCATCAGGCCCGCTCTTCCGTCTGACCACGCAAATTTCGCTACGCTCCTTTCATATAGCAGAGAAAGAAGGTATTTCTTGGGCGAGAAACAGGCGATTTGAATTTAGCTCAGAGGCGTCATTTAGGCTTGAGGATCTTTTACATGCAAGTAAATCTACGAACATGGGACAGCCGGCTTTACTTCCCCTCCGAAGGAAGGTGTATGAAGGATTTTTTCGCCCTTAAAAATCCACGGCTTCGATCGGGTTTGAACCCGCCAACTTGGGTACAACAGTCCAGTACGCTAACCGTTACACCACCGCCGCCGCATGTTCTTGGGTTGTAAAGGGAAAACAAATTTTTGCTGCATTATTTTTATTTGTCAAAACTGTTAAGGAAAGTGAGTAAAAGTTGACTCAAAGTTTTGTGGAGAAGGTTTGCGAAGTTCAAATGAATTTATAACTTAAGAGAAGTTAATAAACGTCATGATATCATGTTGGAAGGCCCGCAAAAGAGCGTACAGGAAATAGAAGTTAAGATTGTACACTTTTTAGCTCAACACAATGCCTTGAATGAACATTTGAAAACTGTCTTAAACATTCAAAACAAAGGGTTTTAGTTGTAAAAGAAGACTTGTTCACAATTTTATTGGATTTAGAAAGAATAATATTCATAAAACTTACTATACATAAAGGGTAAAACTACCGAATCGTAATTTATAGCAATGACCTTTTTTATCACTGATTTAATTAAAAATTATTTTTTGGTATTTTTCTTTGTCTTCCCAAATTGAGTCTTTTTAAACTCATTTTTATTAATAAAATGCTCAAGTATCTTAATTAACAAAACCATAGTACCAATTTACATGAATATCTAAAAATGAACTATCTGTTGATTATTAAAACTTAAAGAATAGAAGATAAACTGATTTCTAATATTGTTGGGTAACTTGTTTCAATTTTTCATGCCAGTAATTCTGTATAATATTTTAACTATAAACATGTCATATTCTTCACATTTATAAAAAATATAAATGTGCTCATAAATTAATAAAAATGAAAAATTTAACAATTTCAAAATAAAAACAAAATATTATATATTTATTTGATTATATTGTTAATTAAATATTAAGTTAAATCTTCTTTTCATTTTTTCAAAAAGAGCTGGACGATCTTTAGCACCTAATAGAATCATAAAAATTTGACTGAAATCTCTATTTGGATCCATGAGGTAAAATTTTGAAAGTTTCAAGAAGTTATTTTTAATTACAGTTCTTTTGTTTTTAAAAAGGCGTAATTAACAGTACCAGACTTTATTGTGCAGTTCAGTAAACTATACATCCAAAGAGCACTTCATTAATAAAATAGTACTTGAAAAAATCCTATTTACTTCAATTATATTGTAAAATTATAATTTCTTTTATTTGTATTTCAGCTGGTCATGAACAGGATTTATTGACTAGCAATTCTGATGATTTGCTGTTGTTGGATGAGATTTTACATGCTGGCTCGCAGAACAGCTTTGGATCTCAGTGGGATGAAGTGTTTGGTTCAAGTACTGATAATAAAGATGGGCCTCCAGTAGAAGATACGTTCCTGCCTCCAGAACTTTTAGACCAGTTTGCTGCCTTCCATACAGACATTCCAAAGAATATTAGTAAGTACAATAAAATATGACAGTTCATCATCTTTAATTGTCAGACCTTTTCATATAACAAAACTTCAAAAAAAATAATGCTCTGTAGTATTCTTTAGAATATCCTCTGTTATATGTAATAATACTATTGTTACTTACATACTTTTCATTCCCTAGAATTACAGGAATAACTCAATAATTATATATATTTTCATTTTTTGTAGATCCAGGATTGTCTGATAATACATCAACAGCTGCAGTGGGCCCTACATTGCATGACAACCAGAAGCAACCTTTCCCTATATCTAATCAAGCCTTGCTTAATAACACAAAAGACAAAGTAAGTAATTTCAACAGTAACATAATCCTGTTCTTTGTCAATTCAAAAATAATATTAATATTTTCTTTCTAGGGGCAAGATAAACGAGCTGCATGGTTCAACTTGTTTGCTGATTTGGATCCTCTGGCTGACCCAGATGCTGTAGGCCGAAAAGCTGATGAAGATGATCGTAATTGCTGAGAATGTGAAGCTTTTGATATTCCTATGCATTTCATCCCAGCATTCTGAAAAGCTACTTTTTCCATGATAAAGAGCTTTTGTTTGTTTGTGGATAAAACAAGGTGTATTTGCATTCCATATATTTTATTCCTTTTCAATTGTTTTTTAGTATTTTATGCTTGCAAAGCACGTTTTATGTATCATGTTTTACTGTATCACTTAAATTTGCCCCTTTTGGGGGGAAGATAGGGAAGGTGAAATAGATCTTTGCTTTCATTATCAGTTTCCCTTGTTGGATCTATTAAATGATAAATGTACAAAAGAGAGGAATCTCAATCATCTCATCAAGATCTAGTCAGAATATGTTTGGTCAGTACTGCTTCTAGTCAAGAAGAAATGTGTGCTAGTCGGGTTATGCATTTATAAGGAAAATGAGTGAAGAGAGTGCATTGTTTCAAAATTTGTAAGCAACTTACAAAATTTATTAAACCAAGGGAAGCTGACCTGTTAATCAGCACTGCACCATTCAAAGAAAATCTGTTGTTGTTTTTTTGTTTGTTTTTTTTTCACATTGCACATATGTTTTACTCAAGTAATTTGTATCATTGGACATTTGATCATGTAAGGAGATGGACAAAATAAAATTTATTACAGCTAGAGTAATCCTCTGCTAGATATTTTTCCCCCACTTATTAAATCCCAGTATTTTACAGGTTTGGCCAGTTACATGAGAATTTGGAATGCCCCTTGAACAGTACCCTAGGGGTCTCCAAATTTACTGTGGGCCCCTGTGGGCTGGAACCAGGCCCTGGTGAGGTTCCTTCTGGTCCAAGTCATGTCCATTCCAGGGACTCCTACAATGGGCAGTGAAAAATTCAGGGGTGGTGAAGGGATTGGTCAGAGCGAAAGATTTCTGCACCTGTTGAGAGATGCAGGGCTTGTCATAATGTGGAAAAATAGGCTATGTAATATGGATTAATAAAAAAAGCAGATGGAATTTAAACAACATCTGTGATAATTAACACCTGTGCTGTGTCTTGCAGACAAACAAGCATAACGCATAGACGAAAATATTAACATAAGTGATAGACTGAAGTATTCATCATGTGTAACATAAATGTAAGAAAAACACACAAAATAACACTGTCTATTGGCTGTGAGACAATCTAGTTTACTGTTGATTGGATGTGAGAATCGATTTCGAGGTATCAACTTTGTCCGTGAATCATGTTACATGGCGTTAGTTTGTCTATCGATCTCGATTTTGAGTTGACGTACTGTGATTGCTTAATTTCTTATGTCTTACTTAAGCATAAGCACAGAAGCTGGCAAGTTTTTAAGTTAACGTCTTACATATTATGCTTATGCGAATGCATTATGAATGAGGTCGCTTATGGACGTACTCTCAACTTCTATGTTAATGCCATGTTTATGCTTATGTTTGCATTGTGAATGGGCCTTTAAGGTACATCCAACCAATAGTAAATTAGAAATTTGGTTTAAGAATGTCAAGAAGTCGAACCTGTTCTTTTTTTCTTCATGAACACAAATTCATCACCACCATTGACATGTAGTGCCACAACCAATACTTTTCCTTCTCCATGCTTCATGGTTGCTCACATGTTTTCTCTTTTCATCTCTTAATTTAGTCTCCTCCACACCCAATTCTTCCATTGGATCCACAGATATTCATTTTCGACCTGTCAACGAAGATTACTTTATTCCACCCATACCGCCCATTCTACAAAAATAGATCCATCACAAACAATATATACGAAATTACTGAAAAAATACCGATCCCCATTTCTAAAATTGTACCTGAACCTACTCTGAAGTACAGTTAGTTGTGGGATGTAGGCCTGAACACTAGTCGCATCGTGGGGATAACCGCAGGTCTTTTTAATGTGCCTATAAGCATGTATTGGTCCTGGTTTATGATGTTTTTCTTCTACAAAGGTTTAAAGAGGTTCCTCAGTGTGTAGATTTCCACTCCAGCATTGGTTTTTGAAAGAGTAACTGTGCACAAGGACCCTGGTTTCCTGTTTGAGTCTGTCAGTCTTATGGCTCTTATTACAGGACAGCTTTGGGTGACATGTTTTTGAAATATTTCATCTTTTGTGTATGAGACTCGTACATTTCTTAATACGGCTGAAATAGTTGATTTGTTACGGCAAAGCGAGTTTGCATGTTTCACAGGGGCTAATCCAACCCCTGTGAAGTGTCCTAAACCCCCACCTGACCCTACCCCAATCTTATTTCCTTCCCAATTCTGGCCGCTGAGTAGTGACACAGGGGCGAGTAGTAGGAGACGCTACTTGGCGGTCTTGACAATGACTGCGACGAGGCGTGGCGGATATGACATACTGTTAAGGAAGGATTACTCCGAAAGCGCAAAGCGCTTCAACGCCCCCGGGGGTTTGGAGACGCTTTGCGTCAATTGAAGACGCAACAAATTTAAAAAATATATATTAAGAAGTGAATCAGACGCGGATTCACGGGAGGGATATGAAGGAAATCCCCCTAAAATTTTAAGCAGAAATATCTTCGGATTATCGTTAAAATGAATTAAATCGTATCGCAGCATGAGTGTGGCCTGCGACATTTTACAAAATCTCTAATATGACATATTCGACGAAAGTATTTTGAATTTCCCATCCCAAAATTTGTCTACGGTTCCGCCCTGGGGTAAATAGGGAAAACCAGGCAATTCAAAATGAAACTGGAAACGGCGTGACAGGTTATGAGTCAGAACAGGATGCAGGAAGCAAATTTTGGGAATTCGTGAAATATACTCTAGAAATACATTTTATTACATTATTACAGTATCCTTTAACACTCTGTTTACGGAATAATATTTTCGAAAACTGCTTCCTATAGTCTACATCAATCAGAAACGCAAAATTTAAGAATGCATAGCGTATTTCCTTCATAAGTGACGGGCCCTATTTGAATTCCAGCGCTTCCTTGCCACCCTCCAATAGCAGATTATAACAGTGGGTTTCACGGCGCTACATTTGGGAGTACGTTTCGCTGGCGGCCGCTAAAAGGTCGTGGAGCCCTGGTTTTGCCATTCAAAATATTGCTGGGTCGTTATAAAGGGGAAAATATACGTTAAAGGAACGGAATAGTAATCGAGGAGAAAAGCCGGATCGATATATTATAAGAAATAAAGGGAAAACCCACAAGAAATAGTTGCCAAACACGCATCTGGAATGCACGTGGAATCAACTGGAATACGAAAACAAACTGCAAATGCATCTGTGAGTGAAACAAGCTCGGGGCCGGGTGGTCGTTGACACGACACCACCAGGATCCGCAACCATCCACGCAGTCCCGATTCCCCCCTGCGGGGATATGCCGGCATGTGAGTCGACCGCTTCCCCGCACACGTAGATAATTAAATACGAGAAAAACCACCTCGCGTGTGTGCACCTACGAGTCCGCGGTCAGGTCAGCGAGAGTTGTGTGCAGGTTGTATGGTACAGTTGTAATTATTAAGGGGCTCTTGCGCAACGTATCCGACTTCAGCCAATGAGCTTCAGACACCATTTTGCGTCACAATAATAGCGGGAATTTTAAATGCAGTCAGGTACCAAAATTATCTCTTTACAAGACATTAAAACAGATTTATGAAGCATCTCTTTTAAATATTGCATCTTGTACACCTTATCGTGTTATATTTGGTTGGTTACCGTTAAAAATTGTCACTTTGTACCATTTTCAGAACATTTCTCAACACTTCTCGCTGTCTAATAAACATGGCGGCCAGCGTCTGGTTTGGCTTTTCAAAAGAAGTGTCCGTGCTGTGATCACATGGTTCATGACGCAAAATGGTGTTGCGCAGAACGAGCAGAAATCAGTGCGCTGGAGGAACTTACCCATGTATTTCCACCATGGCAGGTACTATAGGAGCAGGCGGAGATGGCGGCGAAACGCGGTCAATGCGTAATTAAGCTTGCGCAATTTGCTGCTTGGTCAATGCGCACACTTATGCTCGTGACTACTCGTTCATTCTCTTAAATCAAGCCCAGGCCACCAGACAATGCTAAGCACTAGAAATTGATTCCGCTATCGAAAAGAAGGTGGTCCAAACTACACCGCACCATCTAAGAACTGAAATTTAAATGTAAGATGGTTTTAAAGTGCGCTATTGATCATTTTCATTATGCATTCTGTGAACATCCCCCATCTACCACTTTTTTTTATTTTCAATTCAGTAAACTGTTTTCGAATCTCACTTTTTTTAATCATGCCGGATAATACGAAGCTTCCTACCGTAGTACCTTCCCCAAATTTCAGAGCAACCAGGTAAACTGCACCTCACAGAGGTAAGTCAGAAAGTTCGATTGTTGGACTACTAAGTTCAGTGTAAAAAGCAGCGGCCATATATCGTTAAATTGTAAGGACAAAATAATTAAAACAAACTTATAAAACAAGGAAGTGGTAAGACGATTGTACGGGGAACGTATCTTTCTGTATATCTGAAGCTATTCAATTAGAGTCTGCACCGAACACCAAAAAGCAAAGTGTTGTTGATGTTAACAATGATATTTAATGTATCAGTTACCATTCGGACAGTATAAGTTTAATAACTAAATACACCACTAACAAGAATTATACTTCAGTATTCTGGCTCAATGACATCCATCTCGATCAGGTGATTCATGTAGTTTCCTTAATCCATTGAGCGAATGCTGAGATGGCCTCTTATTCTGGACGTACAACATGTAACTTCACTCTCTGTACACGTTTTCTAGAGTTCAGTGGGGAGTCTATACCTGTAAGTTATTCAAATTATCTTACTCTATGTTCTCATGACAGTAAGTCAATGCCTACACGAATGGCACGATGAAGGATAATAGCCACAATTTGTAGCTAATATACCTTTGCAAGTAGTTTTTACTACAAGGGAACAAATATTTTCTTATAAATTCTTGTCAAAAACTTTCGTTGTATTCATAATTCTACTTGTCATCTCACCCTGACCTCGTCCAGATCGAAACGGGCCGTCCATGAATGAGCTGAGGCGATTTGGACTATTTTCGATTCCCCCTCCCCCTTGGTGAGATGTCGAGATTTGGATCGACACCCCTCTAATTATAAGTGATACTTTTCAAACGGTGTATTTTTAAGTCCGTTAATTTGTGGTTGATTGCATTTTCATTTATTTAAAGAATATAATTTGTATAATTATATGTATTTAAGACTAGATATGACTAGTATTTAGAAAACATTGACTGAATTACAATTAATATTATCGCACTTCTAAAAACAGTGCAATAATTCATTCTAGGAATTTTTTTTCTCTAAAATTTCTGTAAAAATGCAGGTAATGCGATTTATCTCATTAATGATAACAAGTTTGGTAATTTTTGTTCGATTCTTTTTCTCGGCCACTTATTGAAACATTCACATAACCGCGATAAAATTGAAAATAATAACCGCGATAAACCGCGCTTTAAGGAACAACAAAATAATTTTGTTTGCAGATGATACAAACATCATCATTAAAGCAAAAACACAACAATCAATAGAAAAAGAAACTCACAAAACTTTGCAAGCACTAGTAAAAAGGCTTCAAGACGACAAATTCATCATAAACATCAGCAAGACAGTCTCTCTAAATTTCATGAATCCTTGATCTAAAGAAAAGCTCTCACAGCATTTGCTCATAAACAATAACCCTGTAATGATATCTCATGAAACTACCTTCCTAGGACTAACAATTCAAGAAAACTTAAAATGGAACACACACATCTCAAATCTAAACAAGAAGCTCAGCAAATCTTGCTATGCCCTATACACTCTCAGGTCAAGCTCCAACATTGAGACACTTTGACACATATATTTTGCAAATGTGCTCTCACACCTAAATATGGAATATATATTCTGGGGAAAATGCCCCTGAAAGAGACTCGCACATTTGTTATCCAAAAAAAGAATATTGCGCAACAATGACCAGCACTTCATAAGCTGCGAGTCTTGCAAACCCTTGTTTCATAAACTAAGGTTCCTCCTCTACCATGCATGTATATTTGAAATGTGGGTCTTCACAAGAAAGTTGTCTCATGGAAAAACTAAGAACTTTTACTTTTAAATTCTGATGTACACAACTACAACCACCCGTCAAAAGGATAACCTACTGTTCTACACTTAAATTAACTTTATCAAAAATGCTTTAGCCCTAATAAGGGCATATTACCTTTACAACAAACTAAGGCAAATGATACTCAAAAGACAATAAACACAATTCATTACATTTAAAAGTAAATTGAAAGCTTTCCTGCTTAACAACATGTTCTACAGTGTAAAGGAATTTTCAAATTACATCTCCCTTAAAAAATAAAAACAAATATTTATATTTATCCCATTAGACTTTCTGTTTCGTGTAAACTGTTTCGAGCTGAAGCAAATAAAAAAGAAGTGGCATATCGCATCCTGTGAAATAGAAGGAGAATGCATGGCAAAAACTGGTCAAAACTTGCCTCCTCACCATTTCAAGTTTTAAGTATAGAATGTACTGCTATTGTTAAATTTGATGTAGTTGCAAACACAATTGATATGTATTGTTCCAATATTATTATTATTAATATAATTAATCTACTGTATAATATCTTAATCTAACTATAACAAGTATTGTATTTCTAGACCAATGACCCATCTCGATCAGGTTTTGTTCAGTTTCCCGGGTCCTTTGAGCAAATGCTGAGATGGCCCCTTGTTTGCTCTTGAACAGTAATGTAACTTCGCTCTCTCCACCCAAGGCATCGTCATACACGATTATAATTGTATATGTGATTCAATAAATATTATTATTAATTATAATAATTATTTTTGTGCAAGATTTCGCCACATTTTAGTTGATTAGTGATTCCGGACACGCCAACTACCAGGGTCATTAGTCCCGTAAGTGTAATGCATGTATTTGCTCGTGAGGTGGCTGCGATCTTTATGGCAAAATACGGCGCCGACATACCTCGGCTAGCGAGGCAAGCTCTTAGCTCCTGACGAGACTCCTGGCATGTGTAGTGTAGTGTGTGTGTGTGTGTGTATAAAGGGTGAGGATAGGACAAAGAAGAAGGTGAGATCGTGCGCGGTCCGTGGCCCGTATTTTAGGGTACTGCTCCGGCATTCGCCTGGTGTTGATCGGAGAAACCACGGAACACTCCCGATCAGAGCAGCCGGCCGCTAGAATTCCGTCGCTGACAAGCTAGTATCGAAAATCCTGCCACCGTCGGGACTCGAACCTACGACCTCCGGTCTAAAAATCTACATGTGGGTTGGAGTAGAGATCCCAGAATTTAAGAAAACGTGCACAGAATAACTTTACATCGCACTACGTCACAGTTTTTAACTACTTTTTACGTTAAATAAATAAAATTACGGAGGAACATCGCGTCTTCATAATTAATACATTGAAGAAAATACATTAAATGTAATAAAAATGTATTTGTTGTTCAGCACTAGATGTGTTTTCTAAATAATATTTGAAATACACCAGTCCAGAATTTCTCACCTTTTTTTACTTGAAAGGCCTCCTTGGAACTAAAATGCTCCGTGCCCATTACATTGCAGACCAATAATATTCAATGCACAACTAGCAAAGAAAACTGAGCAACTGGTTCTATTAAGCAAAGTAGCCAATAATACAAAAGAAATAAGGTATCGATGACTGACTAATCACTAACACATTGAATTAAGCAGCTATTAATAAATAATGTGCAGGAAATAAATAATTTTAAAAAACATTCATTCACCTCAAAATTAATTTTTGAAGTGAAATTGATATATTTATCACTAATGACAAGTTGAGAAACGAGTAGTACAGCATTCTTAATGCTTGTAATGTTAAACAAAATTTCAGTTCTTAAGATAGATGGTCATCTAAAAGACATGGTCATAGACAAGGCCCACTGTACCAATGTGCAAGAAATAATAATTGAAGGACTTGGCTCTACTATTGACCACTTTTGGGACAAATAAGAAAATATAGCGGACCAGGAAAGTCTCTCCACAGTAGCACCTTGCCACAACAGAAAGTATGTTGTTAGCAGGAACAGCAGCTTGTAACAAAAGTAAACATAAATTGCGTACTCACCACAATCATAATAGGTGTAGGAAGTGTCATCCCCTTCATTTGTTTCCCAGTGATCTGGTAGTTACCAACATAAATGCTATTTTTAATTGGAGCCCCTGATTTTTCCTCAGTGCAAAGATACTTTCCTGGCATACTATACTACCATGATGATGACTACTTTTGTGCAAATATTATGGTGCTGTTGTAACAAATGACACTCACCTTCATATACTTTTTTTTAACACTTGCAAAAAGAAATATATAACTGAAACCTTCATCTACTGTCAGAATGAATTTGAAGAAGCATAGAACTAACTAGAGCCAAGCTTTTCAATTTTACCATCAACTCTACAATAATTGTTAAAAAAGAAAGATGAAATTTATGTATTCGGTTTCCTTTTCTATTTTAAATTTAGTGGTGAATCACCATTATCCCTACTGACATCTTAGAAAAACAGGTAAGCAGGTAACATAAAAAAATATTTCCACAGATATTGCTACAAACATTTAATAAAACAAAGTATTGCACAATTTATCCTTAAAAAAATCAAATAAAACACTTAAATAGCTAACTCTATCACCAATCATGATGCAGCCATATATAACAGAAATGTTTAAAAACAATAACGCATGAATTCATGAAATACAAGGCATTTTCATGAATGAGGCTTTCAAGTGATTGTACAATTCTGGATTCCACAGCCATCATGCTTCTGGAAACTGTGTCATGGCAGTCTTAACTCTAGAAGGAAAAAAGGCAAAAATAATAAATACTTCCTTCAGGTAACATTTTTTAAAGTTTACTATTCAGTATAACACTTAAGGTACTCACTTATCAAACAATAAAGTGTCACTTGTCATGATAAGTTGTTGCAGGAGTTTAAAAACTCCCATTTCACGAAGACGCGCTTGCCTCTCACTAGCACCGGGCTCTTCCCGCCACACAAGGTTCGAAATGCAAAATATGGCTGCAATCTGCAGTTTCACGTTGGAGTGCATCTGTGGGATAGCATTCAGCTCAATAACTTTAACAAATTATTCTTTCAAACAAAAAAAACTTTTCTTCGCAATTATCATTTTTTTCAATGAAAGAGTAAATATAATTTCTCAGGGCTGTTACGCATTCAAAAATTCTACATTCTTCGACTTCATAAGGTTTTCCATCACATGTATTTTAATTTTTCAATTAGAAAATGTTTATGAGGAGTATAATGAAACTTTTTTTTCCAGGTTAACCATTCAGTGACGAAATTACTTTCACTATTTCCCTTGTGAAATTAAAACCAATAGTGTTTAACTATACATATAAAATGCTCCAATTAGGGTGATGTATCTCAAAAAGTTTATCGCTTTTCCTATCCGATTGTTCTTACTGCTTTTCCCTTCTTACCAATTATAAACCTTGACTCCTTTATCTTAGACTGTGATATTCTACATCGATCGCTTTAGATTGAACTGAAAACAGAACCTGCACCAATTTTTTATGCATACTTTTCTCTATTTAAGAAAATAATTGGAACAAGTTTTAAGAAAATTTTGAAAATGCCTTACAGGCTACATTTTGTCAAAATATTGTCTCTCTTTTAAGCACCATTTTACAAATTTCTCTACAAGAGTACATGAGAAAGTAAAATAGAGGTACAACAGTAACATACATTCCTTTAAATGTTTAAAATAAAAATATCATGGTTTCTTTTTCACCAATCAACAACTTCAGTTCTGTTAATTACCAAATTTAGCTTTGTTTATTAGTGAGCTATTAAAGAAGGGAGGAGCCGGTCCGGATGGCCGAGATCGCTAAGACAGATACCATGGATTGTGCATGGCCAACACGTACACACAATTTTTGTATGGAATTTTGAGAGGACAAACTGATCCACTCTCTTCCCTTTTGCTATCAGTTTCACAAACAAACATATAAAATAAAACATCTATCATAAGGCGTGAAGTACTTTCTTTTAATTTTCAAAGGTGTAAAATAAATTTACTGTAAAAAACTGATGATATATTTAAATACTAACACAGTTATTTAAATTAAGACCGAGTCCTACCTATCATCCATGCAAATGTCAAAAACAACACAACAGTGGGTCACTGGGTCCAAAACTATATGCAGCAATTGCAGTAAATAACTTTTTAACACTATTTGCATACAATTACAGGTGATTAAAAATAAATTTAAACTCATACAATTGGGCCCGGCAAATAAAACCTAAATATTACAAACCGCTAGAATGAATTGGTGATAAAAGCTGGGTGCCTCAGTAAAAACTAGGGAGAATTTTTGATGGAAGGAAGGGTGTACAGGTGAAAAAACTTCTACAGAATGACAGACAGTGGTGAATGACACATGAGTAGGTGTCTCCAGTTCTAAATTAAATAACTGGATACCAAAATATACTGATGTTCAGTTCTGGATATTTTCTTCCTAATATAACAGCTTCAATTAAAATGCCATTGACGAATTTCCATGTATTATAAATATGGATATACAACAACTTTTAAATTTACTTTTTTAATGTTCTAATGTTGTTTTTTTTGTCTTGGTTTAAGACTGAATAAAAGCAATTATTTCTATAAATATTGAAAAAACACTAAAAATAGATATCAGTATTACATAACATCAAACTAATGTCCCTTACCCAACTAACACAGCATAACATTGTCTGAACCATCTCTTTTCCCCTTTACCTTTACATAATTTATGGATGACTCTTTAGTATGGTAAGAAGGACCTCAAAATGCGCATTTTTGTCAAAATCGTAACATCAAGTTCTAACAGCATTACTGCTTTAATACTATGCACAAGAGACCAAAAAATCATGATCTTAACAAATAATAACATGTATTTAAATATAATGCCAACACCTAGAATTATAAGTATATTTTGGTAGAGTTCACATGGTGTAAGAATCCAAATGTAAAAAGGATAAGTTTTCCAGGTGTTGGCACTATTTGCCTACTGTATTTGAGAAACACCACTGTACTCTAAATTTGGTCTGAGGGAGAGCCACCAGAATTCCCATTTCTGCAGTGGCACTGCATCACACAGGCTGGGTTCCATATGATAAGCATCGCGAATTTCAGGTTAAAATATTTTTTATTTAAATTTTATTCAAATACCCTGATATTTTCAGAAAACAACATCCATCGACTTTCCTTGTCTTCAAGTTTTCCAAGTGCGCAACAACCCTGATTTCTTTTATTGGAATGTAACGCATTGAATGAAAGTTTAGTAGTTAAACATGGCCAAGCTTTCAGGTTGACTTTGTTATCCTAATACTTCTGTTTAAATCAATAAAGAATTTTCTGACACATTACTCCTTTTACTAATTATCGAGGAGTTTATGTCAGTTGATGCTATGAGAAATTCCATGAATTTTCATTTGTATGATGACAAGAGCCTCAATTAACCAATTACCACTTTCAAAACTGACAATCCTTTCATTATGGGAAAAGTGGAGAACTTTAATACAGAATGTACTACTAGACCTGTTACAGATATGACACCATTGGTAGTCTCCTTTTATTGAAACAATGAGCACGGCCAAAAACAAATCAAAGTATTCGACACTATTTTTTCCGAGATGTAGGTTAAAGACATTTTCATACTTAAGCAGAAGGTTTTAATAGGTTATGTTTATCTCAAAGAGATAGAATATTACTACAAGTTGCTCATCCTAGGGTTTCAGAGCTCTTGTTGAACACACTGAGAACTAGGAGCTGCCATGTTTTCTGCAGTCAAAACACACAAGTGGCAGCATATTTCACTGATATCCTCAACCAACATGTTGTTGACCTTCTATATTGTTGCCTTTTGTGATTAACTGTATTTGAATTATATTAGTGATTAGAATATTGAATTCACAATGCCTTCAGTTTGCTTGACATATAAATGCAAAAACAAAAGCAATCAAATCACAAATATATCAGTTTTCAAGAAAGTGCTTTCACAGATCTAATTTCTACTCCAGACTTTGATTTACTTCTTTCAAACATGAATTTTGGAACTTGTAGGGCATACTTTGTTTCTAGAGAGTAATTAGTAAAGATTGCCACAGGATTTGGAGAAGCATCACATTAAGTTTCATTACTGAAGCAGATTCTTAAGCACTACTTGAATTGCATATGAACCACTTCTGCATAACAAAATCCTTTGAGATGAGAAGAAAAAATGTACAGCAGATATTTACTAAACTTATAGTGTTTAAAAAGCAATAGATTATTAAAGTGTTTGCATAAAACAATTACTCTTCAAAAACCTCTTCCTTCATAGTATACATCACTTGCAGTACATGGCATTTTCTGCATTGAGTATTGAAAGTTAACGACAACCATCATGTAAAAAATATTGTTTATTTTTGCCAGTTTATATTTGCAGGACATGGCATCTTTTGCACAGAGTATTGTCAGTTAACAACAACCATCATGTAAGAAATATTTTTTATATTTGCTGCCTTATTTGTGATCCGATTCTTTGTTTCTTATTGCAATAACATTCATTTTCAACTCAATTCGTTTTCCTCACTTAGTGTGATTTTGTTTTTAAATGATAGATTTTGGTCATGAGAACTCAGAAAGAGGGTTTTTATTACATGCTGCCAGGGTCCCCTTGGATTTGACCAGTGCCTTCTGGAATACTACAATATTCTCTTTCTCCAGAGGCCGTTGCTTTCATTGTAAAAAACATGCCTTCAATTTGCTGCAAAGTTGGCGACTCTATGCAGCCACTCTATGTACTAATATTCTATATCTCATAGGATTATCTAGAGGGAGAAAAAAAGAAAGAAAAAATTGGTCCTTAATTAGTAAAATTCCTCTCTTGCAAGTTGCATGAGAGTAGCTTTCAAAATATAAATAAATAAAGTAAAATCTGTACGTCTGGATGAGAGAGGATAGTAAACATTGGCTAGCATTCTGTAGCTTCTTCCAAACTACTGGAATAAAAATGTTAGATATATCCAATTCTTGGAAATTCAGTCAGAAACTCTCAGATTAAATAAGACTTTCATTGTACTAAATTTTGAATACATACAGAAGAATGAAAATACTCTTAATATCCACAATAATGTGGAACAAATAATGCTGGGCAAAGAACTTTGAAAGAAAGAAAAGAGATAGAAGAAAAAATAAAGAAAATTAAAAAGCACGTACACAAAATTGGGAAAGACTTAACTATATATACACTATATATTAAGCACAACAAAAAACACACTTTTTATCAATCCATTACAGTAAATTTTTAGGCACGTAGTAATGCCATTTACTAAAAATTTACTGTCGTAGATTGAAGAATTTGCGCTGTTAATGAACTTTCTCTTTCATAAGAGGAGAAAATATTGCAAGTACTAATACAAATTAAGTTTTTGAGAGATTTAAAATATCTACAACATGTTTCAGGTGGACTTAATACATTTGCATCCAAACTGATTTGTTGATCTCAAGGATACTCTAGTCCAAATGACTAAACATAAAAAAATTTCAACTTACCATGTAATCAGTTAGTTTCTTTAATACATCTTCATTTGCCATGATGTATTCTTTGGCTGATTCTCCATCACCTATATTTGCTAAAATGCATAATGCCTGCTCCTTAACTTCGGCATTATGATTCCCTTCCAAGATGAGAACAACCGCCTATTTGTTTAAACAATCATGGAATTTTATGAAAATTATGTGCGATTAACTGAATAAAACACGAGTTTCAAAATGATTCAACAATACCTGCATTATCTGATTCCCATGTCTGCCCATTATCTGATCAATGTGGGGTTTGGTAGAAAGTAAATTTCGCAAAAGACCCAGAGTCTTCATTAACACATTTACTTCAGGGTCAGAAAGAAGTCTAAAAATCTGATCGGTTCCCAAAGTATCTAAAATTTGTGATTTTATCTTTTGTTCTGCTTGGAAAGCCATATTCTGGAAGAGTAACATTTGGTTAATTTTTTTGTATGTTTATTTAATTTAGAATCACAACACTTAGCCAAGTAAGTGAATCATACCATAAGTGCCCATATTCCATTTAATCTTAAAGCAGGATCCTTTCTTCTTGTAAGATTGCACAAAAGATCTACAGCACCCGATTCCAAAATGGGTTCTTTAGAAGGAGAAAATTCTAACAAGAGATTGCACAAAGTTGAAGAAGCCATAGTAAGAATGTCGTCAGAAGCTCCTTGCAGCAGTTGCATCAGAGGTCGCCACACAGAATGATCCTGGTGAAAGCAGAGAGGCTTATTTCAGAATGTGGACAATAAGAGCATCCAAGTCTTGCACTGTCCACATAAGATTCTTTGCAATAAAATGCAAAAAATTTTACATCAAATACCTGGAAAGTTGTTCGGAGCTGCTGAACTGATCGAGAAAGAGAATGCAAACATCTTACAGCTGCTAATCGGACTTTAGGGCTGGGGTCCTGCAAACCACTGACTATATGGTCCATCAAATTGTCCGTTTCAATGATCTTCTTCCTAATATCTTCATCATTCGCTCCCAGAGAAGCAAATGCCTGAAGGACATAGACAATTATATTCAAAAGAAAGAAGAGGAGGAAAAAGAGAGAGAAAGAGACAGACAAATTTGAAATCTTGACATGCAATTATGTAATTGATATGGTAGGTACATAAATGTAGACATTCTTCACCATTCAGCTTTTTCAAAACAATTTCATTTCTACATGTTGAAATGCTTTTGTGGGGGAGATGTGAAAGGAAATGATTCAGTATCCACCACTGAGAAGATAACTGAAAATGATTCTTCATGAAAATAATTAATAAATGAAATAACTAATTGTAGGTTAGAACCAACAAAAGTGGAATTAAAAATTATAAAAGTGTTAAATAGAAATTCAATGAGTTATGGGAGACGCATACAAAATCTTTACATTGAAAAATCATTCACACTGTAAAATGAAGTAATAATGGATGCAGGGACTTCTCCAAACAGAGTAGACTGCCGCATCTGGAGTCACTAGCTACTTGGCTGCCTGGAAGATGCTGTGTCCTAGACGGGTGCCAATGTTTTGGCTGCCATTCTGCAACCTTCCTCAAGGCAAAAAATGAGAATAAAATTTTGATTTTTCACCCTGAGGAAGGTCACAGAATGGCGGCTAAAACGACATTAATGCCTAGAATGTGGCATCACCCACAGTCAAGTAGCTACCAAATATTTTCATACTGTCATTTTGATGTACAATTATTTGGAACTATTTAGTCATGTTTTTCAATAATAAAAATGAAAATTTATTTCACGATTTCTTCACTTTCTTAGATAATAATAGGGAGTTAAATGGTAATTGTTGTATTTACCTGAATATAAGACAACTTAAATATGAAGGGATCTCATGAGAATTTTAAAAATGTTTAACTAATTCTTACTATTTAGTCAAAATAAAATAGAAAATTGTCAAGAAAATTGCATAGCTCATAAGATTGTTAAAACTTATAGACAGATCTATCGCAAATTTATTTTTACTTAAAATCATAATAATAACAAAGTTTTTTAACAATACCATCTTCAACTTCACATTTATCATTGTTTCTATCTATTTGGTCCTTCTCCCATACTATGATGTTCTCTGACTTTCTAGGTTCTCCTAAAACTTTTGCGCATTAAATTTATGTGAGTCTTTACACGGATGTCACCTCTCTTCACAGTATTTTCTTCAACTAAAAAGTAATCATGCTCTTGTTTGTGGCCTCTTGATTCTTTGCCAGTTCTTACGCATATGTTAACAGAATATACTTGAAATTTGCATAATTTAGTGTGATCAAGTAGTGAAATCCAACTTATCCATTACATGGAAGAGAGAAGCAAGTTTCCAATTATGATATCCTTCTCTAGAAAAATACAGATTTGCAGTTACTGAGCATTGAATTGAAGTTTGAATTGCCTCACATCAGTGCACCATATAAGAAAAACAAAAGAATTTAATTATTAGACTTGTAGCATTTCATTTACAGTAATGCCATTTACTTGAGATGCTCTCATTATTAGCCTCCTTAAAATTATTGGTCTTGATCGCTTGTGTTACATCATCATTCACGTATCTTAATATGGACAGGCATTGTACAACCATGAATACTGACTAGAAACCAGGTCTTATATTCGGGTAAATGCAGTATTGTTTGTTGGAATTTGCAGTTCCTTTACAGACAATAAAATTTTGTTTTAACTAATCACGTATTCATTCTTGATCCATTAAGCTACAAAAGGGCCACTTCAGATAATACAACACCTCTCAAAAAGGAATCTTGGACTAATAATTCAATGTAATCACGACCTCCAAAAGCTGATGGAGGTAATTAGATCAGATAAGAAAACTAACTCTCCAAGAAGCATTACAATTTTACAATATTCTATGCTCAGCTAATGATAATTAAAGTTATAAAAAAGAAAATGCATTTGAAGTGGACAGCTTCAGGCAGTAAAGGCAATAAACAGTTAAGCAGAAAGTGTGCAAGATGTTTTCAACATATTATCACAAACCACATCAATGGGCAATTTTTATGTTCTTATTCTGGCAATTAGTCAACCTTTATGTTTCTTCCCATTAAGAATGAAGTCAGTAAAGGCCATATAATCAGAATTTTACAGGGACAAACAAAAGAAAATGTTGTTATCAAATTCTCTTTCTGAAACAAAATACAAAAACCTTATTCCGCACTCAAATCCATTATAGAAGAGAAATTTTGTATGTTTGTGGGCCAGTACAGAAAGATTTTGAGTGAGCAGTGATGGGCCCATGAGTGATTACTCCCACAATTGACAAGAATCCTTTTCAGATACCGACAATCAAAAATAACAAACTAGGAATTCGAAACGTCAATCCAAAATGTTTTTTTTTAACAATATTTCCTGAAATTCACTTGTGTGTAGAAGAAATTCTTGACAGACATTTCCTAAGATTTTCTCAGGAAAAACTTCTCAAACTTGGAACCTGGCCACTCTCCTGTGTTACTTGCATAGCTGGGTAACTGAGATGTACGAGTTTATAGTTCACAATACGATCTTGCTTACATTAAATAAAGCAAATTTCAGTGTTAAGGAAACAGGTTTCGAAAAAAAAAAAAAAAAAGCACAAAAGAAAGAAAATTTTGTGATTTTCTAGAGATAATGTTCTTAGTTGGAGTGAGATCCAAAATCCACAATTTTCAGTGTTAATAAAAATTAATAAAAAATATTGCAGAGTTTGATGCAGTACAAGAGAACTAAAATGAAACAAATAACGATATATGTGAAGATTAAGATGATTTTCAGGAACAAGAAAATAGTATAACTTAGGCAATACAACATTTTAACATTCTTGCCAAAGAAACAATTTTCTAGTGAATTAGACAATTTGTAATTGTAACTAAATAATAAGAATTAGCTAAATATTTTTTATATTCAGGGGGCCTCTTCAAAATCAGGGGTCATCATTTATTCAAAGTTGACTTATATTCAGGTAAATACAGTAAACGTTAAATTTCTTCATTCCTTGTTCAAATAAATATCTATGAAATGATAAGATATTTTCATTAGTTTCACCCAAACTTTACAGTAACAAAGAGTGCATGTGTCATCATTAGTGCAAACAATAGAGAGATTTCATTAAAAATTTTGGATTCATTAACAATAAATGTTTCTCTATTTTGGCAAAATTGTGCACTTTTCAGGTTGAATAATATATTCTTGATAAAACCAAAATACCCTGAATGCAGCCTGCTTCATGTCCTGAGCAATTTTTGCTTCCTGTTCTAGTTTTTGAGCAGCTTGATTTGGATGTATTGGAGGTTCTGGGTGATATCGCAGTAGTTCGGCTAGTGTAGGCACAAGATGATTCGAAATGGATGCAAGTCGTTGGAGTTCTGTATCTACTTCTGTGAGGTAAGCTAGAGTCTCAGCAGCAGTTACCCTCTCTCCACATGACTGATCTTTCTTGCATAAGCGAACCTACAAAGAAACAATTAATGACATTAATTATTTACTTCTCGAATAAAAACTAATAAAGCTCATACACTGCTCTCCTACCTTAGGCATTATCATGCATGTTAAAAAATATATTACACAAAATATTTATCCTGTAAAATATTAACAAAATACAACCATCAAAATAACTATTTTAAAGAATATACCACGACACTTAATAATTCTTTACTTTACCTTTATGAATCAACCAATGTATAAAACTTTGAACAACTGTTTTATTTGTGGAATGAGATACAACAGGTGATTAAGAGTAATTTGGGGGTGCTGAATTCAAACCAGCAGACTACTTTTGGTATCACACCTGGAATGGTATTTTGGAACCTTTTTCATGTGTGCAGTGAAATTTACAATTTCCCAAAAATTCACATATTTAGCAATCTAAATTCTTAACACACTGTAAGGGATAATGAATTTTAACTGCAATATCTACATTTTCCACATTACGGAGAGCTATATTAAAAGTTTTCCTCCAACTTGAATTATATTTATGCACACAAGTAACATTTAAAATTATGTTGAAACCCCAACAAGGTGAAGTTTTAATACACATTTATGATGGTTAAAAGTTTTGGGATTAATAAAATTTGGGAAGGTATAAAAACTACAATCCAACAAAGTATCCAAAATAAATTGTTTTTACAAATAAAAATATATTTAAGAAGAATTTTTAGTCATAAAGTACATTTCTTGGGGGTGAGAGAGGGAATGGAAGGTAAACAACAGTAGATGCATTTTTATGAACTAACTCTCTACATCTTCATTTTACTGACAATACAAAGAATGGTCCCTGTGTCAATTCTAAACTTCTGAAAATTTATAAAAATATTTTCATAAAATAGATTTTTTCTTCTTCTTTCCTTTCTCAAAAATAAAGCCTGTTGAGGTATGTTCCTTCACATTTCCAAAAATTCAACAGTGCATTTATAACTGACATTGTCAATTGATTGACCATATTTCCGGACAAGGCGGGGAACATCCCCCAGTGGATGGCGAGATCTGTTGCCAACCTCCATGTCAGCTTACAGGGTTTTACACAACAAACACCTGGTAATGTAGGCATGCAAGTGTAAGTGGGTGTAAATAAGGGGTGAGGATGGGAAAGGAAAGATCAAACACAGACTAGTCCATAAATACCAGACATACTGGTCCGTGATATGTCTGGTATTTATCGGAGAAACCATGGAAAACTACCAATAAGAGTAGCTGGCCACTAGATTTCTCCTCCAGACAGTGTCTGAATTCAACCTTGCTATCTAACTAGTGTCGAAAATCCTGCCCCTGTCAGAACTTGAGCCCTAGGTCCTCCCGCAATTAAATTAATTGACGTTCTGAGCAATCTACGCCACTCTCATATTGCTGAGTTCGAAAATTTGTCCTTTGATTGTTTTTTCCTCAAGGCAGTTTGAAGCCTAATATTTCCCTTTGTAGAAGCTTTTAGTAGGCCAACATGACCAAAAGTCATGTTTGCTACCTATAAGATCTGTGCACATCCAAGACAAAACCATTGTTGTTCCTGAAAAATATATACTAGCAGTCTATCTTTCCAACAGATATGAGGTGAAATAAACATCAAGAACAGATTGTTGTCATTTTATCTGTGGCATCTCCGTACCCATCCAAGTGAAAATATCCTAAACACAGAGGTGCTCAATGATATACTGATTTACGTTTGTTAAAACATATTAATTTCTGTTATTGGATCATAAACAATTCATCATGAAACTTATTTTTGTACATTTACACACATGTTCCAAGTACTTAGATTAATTACTTTCTATCAAATAGGTTGTATCTGAAATACAGTAGCAGAAGAAAACAAAAGCACAAACCAAACACGGAAGGGTCTTGTATAATATTTTAGGATCTTCAGCACTGATTGCACCAGCACGATGCATATATGTCACACATTTAGCTGCAGCCATTTGCATTTCACTAGGCTTATCCCTTGCCATTAAACCCACTAAGAGGTCAGGAACAGACTTCCCACCAAAACTGAAAACAAGTTGGAGACATTTAATATGCCACATAGAACTAAACTATTCAGAAAACATACTGGAGATAAAATTGAGAAAGTCCCATACCTGGCTGTAGCAACAACTGCAGACACATTTGAATTTTGATGGCACATATTAGCTAAACACATCAAGCTAGGCATTTGAACTTTGTAGTGGGGAGAACAGAGTAAAGCTGCCAATGTTTGAACAGCTCCTTGTGCACATAACAGATTTTGATTTTCAACAGTCTGCAGGGGGAAAAATATTAAACTCATTAGTTTTGATTCCAAGAGATTAACTGAGATTAAAATAAATCATGGCAGGGAGCTCACTGGATACCAAAAACGCTATTTTCCCTGCACTCCTCCGTTTCTCTGGATTAAATTTGGCAAGCATTAGCACTCAATTGTGTTCACAGAGATAAAGTGATATTAAATTTTAAAAAACTACAAATTTTAATAATTTTCTCTTTACTGTTAATAAGTAACAGTGGGAAGCTCTCAAGGGCAGATCTAGAAATTTTTTTCAGTGGGAAGGATACTCTTTTTGGTTTTACAGAACAAAAATAATGAATAATGTCATAATGAACCAAACTATTGGTATAACTATAATAACAAACTCTTTTCAAGGAACACTTCATTTATTTAAATAACCAGAATAAAGACAAGAAAAACTTTTTTTTTTTCACACACCCTTTCTTTGTTTCACCTTAATTAGGTTTCCATAATATGCATAAGTTCTTACTTAGGTTATATGCATAATATACATAAGTCCTTAATTAGGTTTCCATAATATGCATTATGTAAATTACACATGTAACTACAAAAAACACAAAAATAATTGTTAACAGCAATATTAATTAAGTTAGAACTGGAAATAAAGTTCGTTTCTGAAGTTTTGATTTAACATCATTCTTCCCATCTGTTTGCGTACACGTCAGTTGAGAATGCAAGTCTAAGTCAAAGTCAAATTGATCTAATTATTCAGGACAAGGGAATCTGCAACGACAATGACTAGCAAATCTGTTTTCAAGAAAACTAACTGTCCCTTGCTATTCTGCTTTCTACAATGGCTTAACAATAGTTTTAAATTACTGTTCCTAAAATACAAAGTTTATACTGAACCCAGAAGGAAACATCCATGGTTAAATGACTTACTTTAAATGTTTTATTTTCAATTTGTCTACCTCTATCGACTGTTTATGAAACATACAACACATTTTAGATACAATTTTATCACTTCTGGCCACAAAAGAATAGATCCTAGGAAGTATTTCAGTAATAATAATAATAATAATATAATATTATTAATAATAATTATTATTATTTTATTAATAATAATAATAATAATAATTATTATTATATAGACTAAACAAAGAATGAAATTTTGAAATAAAATTCCCTCATGAAGGTCCGAAGAATTGGCTATTTAGTATAATAGTATGGAAATATTCATAATAAAAACATTTTCACTATTTTCCTTTGACTATTACTTGTAAGAGGTTCACTACCTTCTTCAGTTTCACGTCAGTTCCCTGGAAAAGGAATGACGTATTGACAAAATCGCTTTTACAGCTGCAGCGTTGTTGTACATTAATATTTTGGAAGAAAATGTGTAATTCTGGTTTTGATGGCTTTATGATGTAAAGAAGCATTATAAGGTGGCTTTCTCATTCAATATAACCCATACCAAAAAAATATTTGGAGGGGGGGGGGGAGGAGCAGTACCCTGGCGAATTCAAAATTATTCTATAATTTAGGTGTTAAATTGTGTTATGTCAAATTAGTAGAATGTGCAGTGGGGCATAATTGATTTAAACAGATTGTTCATTCACTTCACTTTGAATAAATTATATAAACTATTTTTTTAAATTTCAGAACCATTTTTTTTTTGTAAAAATTATGAGAGTGCTGCCAATACTGTATTTCTTTAAAATTCACATTCACTGGAATATGTTACTTTAGCAATAACTTGATACACTTAGTTTGTAGGAATTAAATTAATTTGTTTAAAGGTGATATGAAACAAAGGTTTTGATTTCAAGTTACATTTCAAAAGTCATACATGAAAATATATAGTAGTCTACTATGTCAGTGCTCTTATAGAGAATCTAATATCTTTCCTTCATTTCATAACCACTGCATTGAAAGGCCAATTTCGTACAATTTTATTTTCTCCTCCTAATAAACACCTTTTCCAAGACTGCAACACACGAGATCCAAGAGTGTTAGAATTGATATTCTTTAAGTCAGACTTCCACAACATGATTTACAATGTTCTCTGTTTTGATAGTGGTCAATAAAATCTTCTCTTTGTAGGTTATTTCGACATATTAGACTTTCATAATTTAATTCGTAAAAGAGATGTCACAATTCTTAATTATTTTATGTGGCAAACAACAAATCCACAAAATCATGACTTTCACAACTTGCATTCTCATCCCATCATACTTTTCTGCACTTTGATTTCCTCAAGTCACACATTGAAGGCAATGGACAGGAAATACTAAGAAGTACTGATCTCCGATTAAGGAAACAAAAACTGCATTCTTTCAACTCTCAACAACATGCATTCAGATTTCTTAGTTTAATTGAAAGTTGATTAAAGAAATATGCCCACAACATCTAAAATTTATGTTATAGATTCACTGTTCAAATGAAAAATCACTATAATACCATTCGACATTTCCAACAACTTTCTTACCTTACATGCAGCAGCCAATATAGTTGTAACACAAACTTGATTGGACACAGAATGAGGAGCCAAACTAAGTAAATGAAGAGTAAAATTTTCATCTTGATATATAAGGTCAACAGGAGCACATGGTACTTGAAATATAGTTCTCAAACAACATAAACTAGCTTCAATCAATTTTGCATCATCACTCACCAAACCTAAACAATGCATATAAAATAACCATCCATGATAAATGTTTTAATTTTTTTACAAATACAAGACCCAAACAATTATGTATATGACAAATGAAACCTAACACTCCAAGACCAATAAATTTATACTAGCCAAAGAGAGGATGAATCTTCTTGCCCTTCATACCATTTATAAGCATAGGAACTACACCCAGTTCCACAAGTGCTTTTACATGTTCTTCTGTGCCTTTCGCCAATGAACCCAATGTAATTGTTGCTTCTATTTTAATTTGCGATGACAGTGCAGTATCTCCCAACAGTTGAAGAAGGCGAGGTACAACACCTTGTGATATAACGTGCCCTTTCTGACGGTTGCTTCCAATCACGGAATTCTTCAAGCAACTGACGGTTCAAGAACAATAATTAAAAGGTAAATAAATTTACATTTTTCATTTTTATATTAATGTATTATCGTAAATTAATTGTCTCTAAACGATAAATTGTACAGTGGAGCAACTTACACAATTGCTTGCAAACACTTTTCAGGATCCGGCGAATACAGCTCATCTATATATGATCGGGAACTCTCAACATTCTATAGTAACACACCAAAAGCTTCCATAATAACGTATACAGAACACATGTAAATCAAATATTTAAAATCCGGTTTGTACTCACCATAAATGGTTGCATGAGAGTAACCATTGTCAATATTTGTTTATATCACCACACTAATGTATAATCTTCCCTATTAATGGTAACGTACAAAAGATGCACACTCTTTCCGCTCAGTCTTCAGTAAAGTATACTGATATTTCATTAAAACAGAAAAGGACGCAATCACTTGAAATCCGAATACTTTCTTTGTCTTACGGCACTGACTGACAATTCCGGATAACTCCACCAATTCGACACACCTATATGCATCAAACAACTATACCGCAAAACTCATTAAGTGCTGGTTGAGTATTCATTAGTCTTCATAACCAAAATTCACAGTCGCTCACCACCAATTTCATTTTCATGCCAGTGGTTTTCGGAAACTTTTTGCATAGCGTAGCCTGTGCGAGTAATCGTAGCGTACAGAAGTCACGTGACGAATAGCGGGTGTCAAGCACTATAGTGCATACTCTCGTGTATAGAGATGTCTAGAACGACGTCACAACGTTTGGCGGGAAAGTGTTGGGTGGCAACCTCTGCTGTGCGCGTAAGCGTTTCCTAGAGAATTACTAAGTTTTTGGCTGTATTACGCGGTTGTCGAGGCGGGTCTGTCTTATCACCTTTTCTATTTACAATGATATTTGCTTTCCTTCGGTTTATTTAGGTTCTGGGAATTTCTTTCACTAATTACATTTAAAAAGTACTATTTTATCAACACGCGTCAAGTCGCTATTTTTTCTTGTTGAAAACGCTTCGAAGTAAATATGCATGACCTTAGCGATGATGCTAACGTGCTACTTTATAATAAAATGAAATGTTGAAACATATATATTCCCAATGCATTGATGTATTTTTTTAGAGCAATTCTCAAACCTCCATTGAAATTTGCGCAACAATACTGCAATAGATATTTGAGAAGTTCATTGTTGAACGGCGAAAAGATAGAGCGGTTTTATATACAGTGGAGCTTGTGTTATACATTAAAAATTAGCCTTTTAGAAGTGATTTGAAACCCATTTGATAATCCATATTATTTTTCCGTGTTGCGAGGTATAGAATATACATATTTTCACTGAATGAAAGATCGCTTAACTATGCATATTTCAGCATTTCACCAGCAATACATTCCATATTATAATCTTTCCAAATTTCAACGAATACGAAGGTTGTCTTTTATATTTCAGGACTAGAGAATAAAAACAAATATTAATCATCAAAAATCACTTTATTGTTTTTTCAAAATATTCCCCATGAAGATCTATATACTTTTGCATGCGTTTGAACCAATTGTCGAAGCACTTTTGCCACCCTGATTGAGGTATCTCCAAAACATGCATTCTGAATGCAGTAACCGCTTTTTCGGGTGTCGAAAAACGTTGACCTCTCAGTTTGTTTTTTACATAGGGAATAAAAAGAAGTCATTCGGTGCCAAGTCAGGACTATACGGCGCATGACTCATCAAATCGATTTTTTGGGTGCTCAAAAATGCAGTTGTTTGAACCGATGTATGAGAGCTCGCATTGTCGTGGTGAAGAGTGATCCGTCCTCGGCGGTTGGTTTTCTTGATTATCTTGGAGACAGCTGCAGAATCAAATCGTTGTTACCGCTCAGAAAGACCTGTCTGCATGTGTTCTAGTGGTACGGTTGGACAGTGTCAGTTCTTTCTTCGAAAAAACAGCAACCATCTGTTTGGAAGTGCCGTGCGCGAACAACTTTGTTGAATGCTCACTTGAACACCCATACATCGACTGCTGTTTTACTTTCGGGCTCATACGCGAAATCCACGATCATCACCTGTTCACATATCATAGACGTGTTCCAAGCACGCGATCGTATTTTTGAGCAATTCTTTCGACCAATATCGACACGAGCCTTTTTTGAGCGATCTTGACAATGTGTGGAATACAAGCGAACAAATTTTTTGAAGTCAAATGTTCATGCAATATTGAAATTGAATTGCGGTCCCATAATGCTAAAGTGGTCATCTCACGATAGGCCACATGATTTGCATATTATTCACACAGCATCAATGGTTTTCGAACAACAACTGATTTGACGACCTTTGCGAAATTCGTCTTGCAGTGAACTACGAGCATTATCTCTAACAAGAAAAGGCTTGAACTAAACTATTGGTTAAACACGGCCATAGAAAAGAATATGAAACACTTAAAAAAATGTATCTCAAGCCGCAGGGAGGCTTAGGACTTGTAATATTGTGAGACACAAGTTCTAGAAAGAAAAGATTAAGAGGAAAGAGAAAACTGTATTTAAAATGGCTTAGTGACAAAAAAACTGAAACTAATTTACAGTACAAAGCAATAAGTAGAGAAGCAAAACAAGAAGAGTTATCAAGGAAGAATAAATTGTGACTGGATAAATGCGTTTATATAGAACAATTCATAGGTGGAGCACGGAGCTCAGAAGCTTGGAAAGTAATTAAATCTATTAAATCGAATGAAAAAACAATATCGCATTATCAAACATTAGAATCAATAAGTAGAAAGAGTATTTCTGAAGACTGCTGCTAGAAAACAGAAACTTCCAGCGACACAAGGAAGTTAAATTTGAGCAAGGGGTAGATCTGACAAAAGCACTTAAGACCATGAAATCCAACCTGGTCCGGGAGATATACCGGCAGAATTACTGAAATGTGGTCCCTATAAACTACATCAAATGATAAAACACTTTTTTTAAGGTGCATGAATGGAGAGGATCCTCCTCAGGAGTGGCGAACGTCTTACCTAACACCAATCCATAAGAAAGGATCTAGATACCATGAAACAAACTATAGAGGAATAGCAGTTATTGCATCTATAGATAGACTGTATAGAAAAATAATACGAAATAAAATAGGAGAGATGAAAGGAAAAATAGACGAGGAATAAAGTGGTTTTACAGCCGGATGGTCGGTCATAGACAATATATTTACATTAAAATAACTTATAGAAAAGAGAACAAGGAGAGGTGGGGAAGTTCATCTGAGTTTCATTGATCTTCAGAAGGTGTATGACAATGAACCGATTGCTAGAGTATGGGAAGAAATGGATGAACTTAAAATCAGTGAAAACTTAATTGGAGCCACACAGAAT